ACAACAGGCAGATTCTTCCCAAAAACTGCAAGTGCCCCCCATGTAGATGTTTCCCCGAATGCTAATCTCTTCATTATCTAAGATCACTCATTATATCCTTAAAATCTTCACTTCCTATTTAGTTTATATGTTATATGAGACATTTCATTCGGTAACCCTTTGCCTTGGTTGGTTCTTGAACACTGTATTGGTTGACTATCAATATAAAAATATCTTATACTAATCTTTATCAATCTTATTTAAAACGTCTTATTATTATTAAGCCATTATGTTAAGTTTCCACTCACATTGCAGAATTGAAAATCATAAGAAATTTACGCGCAACATTCACTTTCGTATTCATTCTTTTACTATATTTTTTCATTTTATATATTATGCTTAATATTTAACAATCATATGTGACCTCCATTTTTCTTCAATCATTCTTTTATTTTATATATTATGATTAATATTTAACAATACTATTTGACCTCCATTTTTTTCAATAATTCCATCCCAAGTAACATAATAAAGCTACAAAGAATCACAGTTTCAAAGTGTGAAAAAAATACGAGGAACAAAATAAATCATCAAGAAGAAGAAACATAAAAGAGGAGGATTTAATGAGATAGAAAATAACGATTACCATTGCATTCAAATTTATAAAGATCAATATTGACGAGAAAACAAAAGGTCAGCAGAGAGTTCACTAGCAAGAAAAGAAGTAGCTATTAATATAGAACATTCATCTGTTTTTTCTTAAACAATTATGTTAAATTCAGTGTAATATCTTTGATTCCTACAGAATGTATTAATTGTATATATTTTATAAACTAAACATACAGCCATTTTGATTTATAGTTGAAAGGTTTTTCAGCAAAAGTGTATGTTTTTCCAAACTGATTGAAGTTCTTGAAGGAATATATTAAATTACCCGAGCCAAGCAATAAAATTAAGTGAAAAAAAAGCGTACAGAGAAGGCAAGGTAAGTGAAAAAATGATTTCAAAAAGAAAAAGGGGGATTATTAAGATGACGTAAATGAAAAAAAGAATGTCTTTACAATATAGGGATACATCCGAAAGTTAGGTAACGGAAATGTTTCCGAATCAATAAAAAGTGGATAATTAAATGAGCTATTGAAAATGAAACCCTGAAGTCTTTTGCAGAGGCAGTAATTCTCCCTTCCAATCTATTATATCATAGTCGGGCAGAGCCGTCTCAAGGTATTGGCAGCTCGGGCTATCGTCAATCAAGACCGAGGGTGCCGTCATGCTGCTACGCCATGTATTTGAAATCTAAAACTAAAACTTATAAAAACATACATGAGATAGTCCATGACTCAAGACAGATTAAATTCTTTGGCTGTTTTCTCAATAGAAAATGATCCTGTAAAAGAAAATAGTTGTAGAAAGTGTCATGGAAAGATTTGTACATTTAAAGGCTAGAAAATATGTTTTATGTAGGATAATGAATGTTTTTTTAGCTTGTATGAAGTTGCATATTGTAATAAATTTGTTATTCTACATTTAACATTTTTGTCGTGAAAATTTTAAATAAATAAACTTGTAAGGGCGCCAAAGTTCACTTTGACCGGGGTACCAGCAACCCTATGGCCGTCACTGTAGGCGGGGTCAAAAAGAGTGATAAAATAATTAAAGGTTACTTAGAGCTACAAGAGACAGGAGTTTGTGGAGAGCCATGATCACCTATGTGTTAAGTAAGTAGTAGTAATATTATTGTGACCAAACAATAGAAAAATTAGAGTAAACGTCACAGGAAAGTTAACTTACGGCGGTGAAAAAGTAGCTGAAGTCAAGATGCCAGGTCAAGACGAAGAATAATGTAGATTCTTTTAAATTTTGTCTAAATACATTTCAGATGCAGCAGAGCAGATATGGCAAAATATTCAATACACAGACGAATGACAAGATAGATTAATAATTACCACTTAATAGAAATTCTGAAGCTTTCAAGAAACTATGTATCAACGAATTCTTTTGGCTAAAATAATTCGAACATTGTACGTTTAATTATAAGTTATATACGGTTATACGCTAAACTTCCAATCGTTAATTTTTTCAATTTAATGTGTGTTCGAATATAAAACGCATATATACTTGTAAAAGCCGTTTTATTTTTTAAGCCTGGATTTTTTTATGTTTAATGTAAACGGAAATAATTGAAGCACTAGTTATTTTGCTTATCAATTTTCCGATTCGATGTTTAAAAAAACATACACTTTCGGGTGGTACTTGATGCATCATTCATAAGTGACAACATGCAACATGCACCTGAAGAAGGCAGAAGAATATATAGGCCGAAAGTTGGTTAAAAATCAGGTCGAGTAAAACAATTAATCTTAAAATATATACGACGTACTGAGAATGTTTGTTTAAGCATTTCAATAAATAGAATTATTACTGCCAGCTTGAAATTCATGCGAAAATCTAACGGTTTTAATGTTTGTATGAGCGTTGCATATATTTTATGAAAAATCTGTCACTTGCTTTCTCGAGGAAACATATCATTACAGACGATATTTGTTGGAGTGGACGTCTTTTGATGGCGCGTTACTTTTTTTTTTTTAAATTTTCATGTTGATAATCCGTTTATGTGCCGTGTCAATATAGGACTATGGGTTATGGCTCTCCACATCTTTCAATCCTTTTTAGCTCCTTACAATCTTTGTCCTTCTATTATCTCTCTCATTCTGTGTTCTACCGTCCATTTACGTTAAGATTATTAAGTGGGTCAAGTACTATTTTCCTCTTGTGAGTGTCAACTTTTCCAGCCCTTCCTTCCTACGATGATACATCCTTGAAATGTCCACGTTCTTACAGAATCTTACTATTCCTTAACTCAGATATTGATAAGTTCTGAAAAGTGATATCTTCTAGGAAGGACAGTCACTTTGTCCATTTTCACAACATGTTTTTTTTTTTTTAAGTAAATATTTTTAATATTATTATCTAGTGGAATTATGTTTTTTTTTACTTTTAATTATTTTTAGTTTTACAAAATTATCTATCTAGTTTAATTATAAAGGATAAACAATGATTTATTTTATGATGAAAATGAAACGAAGAACATGCATCTGATTTAAAATAAATTAAAATTAACTTCCCCATAATTAATCGAATCCAGTGGTTGTTTGAAATTATTTCTATTTCCCTTTGATACAGATCATAGTTTGTTGATTAGAATACTGTATATACTCGTGTATAAGACGACTTCGTATATAGTGCGACCCCTAATTTTGGGGGCATGAATTTTAACCATCCAGAAAAAAATTCTTGCATATAGTATAACCGATCAACAAAAACGTATGATTTTTAACCTTTTAAAAAGAAATTACTTGCGCATTATTGGACCCCCTTTTTTTAACGTAAAAACTGATCATACGAACTCGTACTGTACACGAGTATATACAGTATTCATTTTATTATTACTGAGGAGAAGGCATCATGAACTGCTGTAAAAAAAAAAAAGATTTCCAAAAGTAAGAAAAGAAAAACGTTTTTTTGTAATTCGATCTGTTTGGCGTGTTTAATACTGTCGTTAGTGTGGGAGGCTACATTAATAAAAATTTAGTTTATCCAGGTAACTCCTTGCTTCTTCCTCGTGCACCACATCCCGCATTCTCTCTCTTAAACACATTCCAAACGTTCGACCCCCAATTTGGGATATTTCACTTCACTGTAAAACGTTATTTTCCTTTGAGCTTTACAGTTTTCAGAGAAGTAAGAAAACAAAAAGCGAAAAAAAAAATTAAATAATGCGATAAAACGAAATGGCCGTTTCATATATTTTTGCTCACCGTGGATCGACTAATGATTCCTTAGAAGACCCTTCCGGTAGTTTTTTTTTTTTTTTTTTGTCACATAGATATTTGTTTATATATAAAATATTAACAGAAGTAAAGAAAATCATTTTAGCTGTCGTAGTTATAGTAGCAATGCTCAGATCAGCCGTAATAGTGTTAAAAATTTCTAAATTAAAAAAGTATTAATAATAATAATATGAGGATAATTTTGGCTTTTTTCTTACGTTATTTTCCTTTTCTTTTCGTCTTGTTTTTGTTTTTTACAATCTTTCTCTATTTTCTCTCATTCACTCATTTTCACATCTCATAGCCCCCAGTAAATATTTTACATATATGTATGTATATATATATATATATATATATATATATATATATATATATATATATATATATATATATATATATATATATATATATATATATATATAGTCACTTTCATGCATACACACATACACATGCACACTCACATATATGTGGATATATATTTCACTTTTTACAAATTGAAATACTAAAGATGACATCAAAGACCCCATGCTGTAGTGTGTGTACTGCATTTTACAATTCGTAATTCCTTTGCAGTTATCATATAAGCGAGTCCAATGTCATCCATCGTCTTGTATATTTGGATTGCAATCAATCTAGCTTAAACATCAATGAGCGTGCTTTTGCAGCATTTTTGTTGACTTTTTATTTAGATTCATTTCATTTTTGGAGGACTTTTTAATTTTTTTTTTTTTTGGTAACATTAATATTTAAAAAAGAAAACAAACAAACAAACATTCTCTGTCAGCATTTGTCCAAAGTTTCAAATATACATTAAAATTCTTCGTTCCGCATAATTTTCCATTTTTTTGTTTTTTTTTTGTTTTTTTTTTGTTTTTTTTTGCTTCATCAGTTATAATAACGTTTCTTTTCTTGGTCTGTTCTTTTTTGTTTATGCTTCTTCATTTTTTTTTTTAATTTATTATCGGTTCCCCAGTCTAGCAGCATACATACACACTTTGAAGTAAACTTAAAATCCAAAGTTATCAACAAAAATGTAAAAAATTGCGATAATTATGTAATAATAATAATAATAATAATAATAATAATAATAGTAATAATAATAATAATAATAATAGCAATAATATTATTAGTATAAACAACGCTTATGTATAAGAATAAAACGATCGAAGTACTTCCTTTTTTATCAAGGCGCTACGAATCGGCATTCGATACATTAGATATTTTTGAGATGGCGTCATCTTCTCTAGCTAAGATTTTTTCTAATTTTGTGATTCGTTGTTTCAACCTTTGCTGAGTGGTGTTAAAATCACACAGCAATCTTGCGAATCTCGTTTGTAGCGTGTCCAGACTTGTTTCAAGCCGAGTGACAGCTTGCGAGGTGGTCTCCTCATTTTCCTCCTGTTTCTTGAGGATCTCCTCATCGAGAAGGTTATCCTTTAGCAGAAGCTGCCGACCCCTTTCGATTAACTGTTTTTTGGCCGCCGGGTACTCAGCAAGTGCGTCCCACAAATCATTTTTGGAAAGGCAGAACAGATCGCTGTAACCGATACTGCGAACATTCGCCGTGCGCCGATTACCAGTTTTATTACCGGCAATGTTCAAAATACTCACTTCACCAAAGACGCTACCGTCTGTCAACGTAGCATAGACGGTGATTCCGTCGTCTGCGACGACCTGCAATTGTCCCCTCTTGACAATGTACATCTCACGACCGATGTCGCCCTTCCTACAGATGTAATCGCCTGGGCTGAATACCTGTAATTTTAACTTCAAAACAAGCTCTACTAGAAGGCCAGGCTCACAATCTTGGAAGATGCGTACCTGTTTCAACGTGTCCAAATGCACATGAATTGCCATTTCAGCCTTGAGCTTGTCAGGAAGTGCTGACAACACTTCCTCCTCGTTTAAGGACTGCTTGTTGGTCCAAAGGTAGTCGAACCATTTTATGACTCGCTGCTCTAATTCTTTGCTCACTTTCCGAAACTCCATATATTGTTTAACCCCGTCCATTCTCTGTTGGAATTCGGCCCGCTGGGCATTCATATTGGTGATCATATTGCCCACGTTACCGACAATAGTAGCAAAGATGAGCACGCCGATCAGGAAGTCGACCACAACAAAGAGGTACTCCTCGTCGCGCTCGGGAATCGGTGTTTCTCCAATCGTGGTCAACGTTAACGTTGACCAGTAGAAACTGTATATATATTTCCGAGTCAACGGCGCATATTTTTGATGGGTTATATTCGGATAAACCCAACCGTCAGTGCCATAACCTATGGAATGGCTGATGGCGAAGTAAGCACACGCGTTCCAGTGGATAATAATTAGGATGTACAGAACCAGCTTGCATATACGGAAGAGGTTCGTGAAATTGGTACGCGTCTCGGTCCTGTCGAAGAACTCCCAGAGACGCGTAAATCGGAGTAGGCGGTTAAATCTCAACTCGGGAACATTGATCCCTGTCAGGAAATAGAGGAAATCAGTTGGCAGGATGCTGGCCACATCGAAGCGGAAGGACTTTGACTTCAGATAGTTCATGCGTAACTTTTTGGTGTCTCTCACCATCAATCCATGTTCAAGGTAGCCTGGAAAAGAAAGGGAAAAGAAAATCTATTAAAAATGTAAATGAAAAGAAAATGCCGAAATCATATATATATATATATATATATATATATATATATATATATATATATAAACTGGACGATAGGGGATTCCACCCACATTTATTATGGGAAAAAAAAAGTTAAAGGTAAACAATTCGTAAACATTTATGTACAGCCGCTGTAATTTTGGTTTGGTTTATTTTATTTTACGGCATATCTCTCTCAATGGGTTATTTAACGCCGACAATATGTTTTATTGCTGGAACCATTTTGTTTTTTCAAAAATCTGTTTCTAGCAATATTTTTCCTTCAAAATTGTATTGCTGATAATAAATATTTTCCAAAAAAGTATTACTGATAATAGTTAACTATTTGTCCATAGCTGTGACCCTAACAGTTGCTACAACCCCGGATCTATATGGACCAGGGAATACCAGCAATTAAGAGGTGGTTCCACGATCCTCAAAACCTCCTGATCAGAGGCCTTGCTGTTGGATGTAGTTTATCGTCTTACCCAGGACGCGGTTGTAGTTTAACGTCTTACTCAAGACGAGCCGCTAGAAGTATAGAGTTGAAGTAGAAATTAGAAGGAATCTAAAACAGGAAACAATGAAAAAACCTCTACGCATGCTCAAAAGAACGGTGAGGATTGTGAACCGGACGATCAACAGAGCTAATATTTAATAACATATATTGATATATTAATCATCATGATTATCATCATCTTTGGTGAATCTATCTACTCATATTTTGCTTACAAAATAACACAATTTTGAATTACTATAGGTAAATGTTTGTTGCATTTACACCCCAATCTATAGGAAAATATTGGTCGTATTTATACATAAAATTAGAGGTTAATACAAATTATACTCTTCCTCACTCGCTCACTAGACTCCTGTAGTCTCCCCGAGGATAATGAGGACATATCTCTCAGCACGGTAGGCATTGCAGTTATAGTTTTCATAGCAATTAGTTGAATTCTACGCTATGGCATTGCTAGTCGCATGCCCAATCGATGTTTGAAGTTTCCCGCCTAAATTGGCTACTAATCACGGGAAAACCCTCAGTCTGCCCTTCTATTGAAAGCATAATTGGTGGGATGGGAAGAGATAATCATACCTTTGCCCAGGGGTACTTGAATGTAAGTGAATGCAGTGAACTAGACTGGAATTTGAACTCGGCTTTCCGATTTCTCATTCCGAGTCCCACCATCTTCAGCACCATTCGCACATCCATAGATTAACGCGCCTAAAATGCAGAGAGAATAGCTAGGAGATTAAACAAGATTTTTCCACATAGTCACCAAGATGAGCTTTGTATTTTCGCCAGCCGAGTTAACGCACTTGTTTTACAGCAGTGATAAGATGCGAAGACATTTTGCTCATCTTTTGGTCCAATGTAAAACGATCAGCAAGTCGCCAACTACACGAATTCAATACCACATGTCCGCTACGTGTGCATTTTCATATCAGTTGGTATATTGTCTGAGTGTTACACAAGTACTATTTATATAATGATAAAGAATAACATTATGGGATATTGTAGGGACGGATAAAACTCTACTGCCATATCAACAATAATTCTTATGATGTCCTCATCTATCTGGCCAAGCATGCCCGTGACCTCTCTCTCTCTCTCTCTCTCTCTCTCTCTATATATATATATATATATATATATATATATATATATATATATATATATAGTCGAATTCGGCCTATCAGGCTCAAGCAGATCAGTTCTAGGAAACCGACAGCCCGACAATAAGCACATGAGATTTGATTATAGTGGACCAATCACACTTGAGGTGCCACAAGGTCCCCAAACGACCCTCCGCAGGTTTTGAATTCAGAGTTGTCCTTCTTCTAGGCTAGTTGCCATCCCAGATGGAATGAGAAGAAGAAAATTCACACCTTTCCCAAGGGTATTAGCACGTAAGTGAATGTAATGGATTCGACTGGTATTCGAACGCGGCTCTCTGATTCCTCAATCAAAGCTGCTATCCATTACTCCTTCATTTATATTTACATTTATATATATATGTGTATATATATATATATATATATATATATATATATATATATATATATATATATATATATATATATATATATATATATCAAGTCAAAGTCTATCTTTTATATTTATATCAATCTTTTATATATATATATATATATATATATATATATATATATATCAGTCAAAGTCTATCTATCAATCAGTCTAAGTCTCCCCCTCTCCCTCTCTCTCTCGCTATCTATCTATCTATCTATCTATCTATCTATCTATCTATCTATCTATCTATCTCTATCTATTTAGCAATCTATTAGTTTAAATCTCGTTCGACGGCTTTGGAACAGTTTCGTCACTCAGATTTAACTTCCACCGGGGGTTAAACCGTTGTCTAATTTTATGGTTTTCTTAGCCGAGCTAGACAATTATATCATCTCACCGTACCGATATTATAAAGAAATTATCTTGTTGACAAATCGGTTATGATGAAATACTAACTTGGGACACATGGTTAGTGAGTTTTCGGTATGACGACTTTTTCCAAATGCAGCTTGTTTTGGGGAAGTCGGCCTGGCTTCTCCAGGTAATAACACAATCGATGTCCTCCGACTTGCAGATTCGAACTTTCCACGGATAAGTGGCCATTGATTCCATTGGAGAGAAAATCCATCCAGACTGTTGATTCAATCTTAGAAACCCTCTGTCCAGAGTTGCCCTGTCATTCCTGCCCTGAACACATTCATAGGTACGAAGCTCAGTCTACCCCATTGTGATAGACGATCGTTGACCTTACAAGAGGCGTCCGTCGCCGTTTTTACAGCAGACCTTTTTCCCAGAAAATCCTGGTGGGGAACTGGTTTAGTCATTGATGACCTGACCGTGTAACTGTTTCTACTATGTTTACATAGTACCAGTAGCACATGTGTAGTGACCTGATATAATATTAAGTCACTTTGATTAAATACACTTTAAAACCAAGTGTAAAAGCTTCCCGCATTATGTGATCATCCGTCAGTGAAATATTTGGTTGTCCGAAAAGTTCATACCGATTTTTAGTCGTTCATGTTCTAATACATTAAAACACATCATATTTATCGACAGATATAAAATGCATACATTTTCGATAAGAGCACACTTCAAACAATCGCTTGAGAAAGGAAGCATAAAACTACTTAATTTGTGTCAATTTTGCATCCCTATCAAAATGGAAGATTATAAGGTGCATTTTATTTTTTACCATAAGGGCAAAATGCCTCGTAAGCAACAAAGAACAGATATGTGCAGTGTATAGTGAAAGTCTTTTAGCTGGAAAAATTTACAGAACTGGTTCGATAAGTTTAGAGTTGGTGATTGTAGCCTGATTGATCGAGAACGCTCACCCCCCCACTACAGATGATGACCAAATCAAGACACTGATTGAGAATAACCCCCATTATACAACGCGAGAATTGGCAGAAACAGTAAATTTATCAAGATCCACCATCCATGAACACTTATTGAAGCTTGGTTACTCAAATCTGAGGGAGTATATCTGTAGGAGAGATGGAATGAATGAAAAGACAAGAGGAAAATTATACTTAGTTTTGTCTGACGCGTTTCGTCATCCGATGGACTTGATCAAGGCAAATGTAATGATTTTATTTAACCACAAGTATATATTTGACAGTTACTCAAAATTTTTAAATTTACGAACGTTCCTAAATATTTATCAGGTTAACTGAAAAGTTTAGGTGTTAGAACGTAGATTACGTCATATAGCATCTTCGAAAGGGAATTTTAACATTAAAGACAGTCATAAATTTTCAACGGGTTAACTGGAATGTCTAGGCATTTAGACCTTAGATTACCTACGCTGGCGTCTTGGAAAGGGAATTTTTACATTTAAAGACGCTCATAAATATTCATCTGGTTAACTGAAATCCATTTACTTTTTTTGAAGAATATTATTTTATTGAAATATCAGAGGGGCATATGTATTATACATCTCTAAAACATAAAACGATGGATTCACCTGTTTACTTTGATTTTCCAACAAATTTCCTCGATAATATCATAAATCAATTTAGTTTCGATGAAAATGTTATCAAT